CAAAAGCATGTTGCTGCCCTTACCACCACAAATTAAACACAATTGAGAATTTAATCTGGTCTTTCCTATATATATATAACCCTCTAAACCTCTTAACCGATCGAAACCTCTTAGCCGATCGAACACCCACTAAACCAAAGAAAAACTATCAAAAAAAAAAAAAAAAAAAAAAAAAAAGGAATAATGATAATAATAGAAGCACATCTAAGAAAGGATTTCGTTTGAGATAATGACCCTGACCAAGATATATAAGATTATATTGTATGCAAAATCTAGTGATTGCGATTTGCAAGGTTTATTATTCATAAAATTTTTAAAAAAAAAAAACCACATGAGTTTGGCCAACCGACTGGTTCCAGTTGAATACTCCAAGCAGCGCCTGATATCTCCATCTCTCGTTCGTATCGTGCCTGCGATCATGCATGCTGATGGAACTTATATCTTCACATGCACAACACAACCCAGCGGCATGTCGACTTGTACCTCGGTTAATATGGAGGATTACCCTTCAACTTATTAATTAATATTCAATATCTTTATTTGACATTTATTTGGCTTTATCGGTTAGATTAATTAGATTAATTTAAAAATTAACATAAACAATATATTTAACTAAAACTTTCCATCTAATCTTAAAAATATCAATCAAAATTATTTTTGGAGTTGTCCTTCATGAAGGACATTCTTCAAAACATTTTTTTTCTATTTACATTATGAGTCCCATATTTTTAAAATAAAAATTATTTAATAGAAGACAATTTTAACATTAATGAGTCAATCTTTTATTTAATAATTTAAGTTGTCTATTTTGACATAATTTGAATTATATATTTTTTTATGGTATTATATAAAAATAATTTATTTTACAATTTAAAACATATGGGTTATAGAACAAGAACCATTAGGTGGGAGAATGAACTCTCACTATTAAGAATTTCACTCTATATAATTATTTAAATAGTACAATTTGGAATAATTTATAGTGTATAATATTTTTTTATTTAAAAAAGTACACTTATTCTTGATTTATATATAAATCTTCTTTATAAGTAATTATGTGATTTAATGATAAAATTATTTTTTTATTTTTTTATCTTAATTACACAATAAGAGACAATCATCTCTCATTTATTATCCCATCCATTGCATATCATACGATTCAAACTCAGAATCTTTTACTTTAAGTAAAAAAAGATGACTACTAAGTTACTTAAATCATTCGATAAATTATTTATATTTTTAATCACAAATTTAAAGTTTAATCCTTAAGTTTTACCTAAAAAAAAATTCCTCTTAAAACATTATGCCGTGTTTGGTATGGAGAGGTAATACGTAGCGCGTGTTTCCACGCCACACAAGCCGGGAGTGAAAATATTCTCCAAGACAAGTTTGCCAAAGGTGACTCGGAAGTGTGGTGCACTGTCCTGCCCGCCTACAGCCACGGCCAATTTGGCATGGCGCATTCAGTCCCTGCAAATTGCGCACCCCCCCCTCCCCACCCCATAATAATCCAAAAATGTTATTATTCTATTTTTATTATTAAATAGTGAAATCCCAATTTAAATAATTTTGAATTATTCATCATGATAAGGATGGGGGGTCCACACGCGTGTATTTCCTGTCCTTTTACAACTTTGTCTTTTATCATATATTACCTATATTATGACCTCACCTTTTTTTAATTTTTTTATTTTTAAATTCAATAAAGTAAAGTAAAGTAAAGTGTACGCCGTTTTCCACAAGGCAATTTTGATATCAGAATCATTTTGTCTGTTACGTTAGAAATATAATTATAATATTATATAAATTATTAATAATTTGTTAATTTAAGTAAATAAATTTAATTTTTTAAGTAAAATTTTAAATTTAAATCTTATGAGTAAAAATATCAATGTTAAAAAAGTTTTTTTAGTTTGACTTAATTTAATTTTAGATTAGTTGATTTAATATGATTTTTAAATATTAAAAATTTAATAAAAAAATAAAATTATGTAAAATATATCATGTAAAATTAAATTTAATATATTTAATAAATACAACTTATTATTAAAATAATAAATATATATAATATTATATTATAAATTTAAAATTTAATTTAATTTTATAATTATGTCATTTTCGTTAAAAGTATGCCCTACATCATTTCCTTTTAAATTAATTTTATTATTTAACAATTGTGCCAGCCCTTGAGGCTCTGATTATTTACATTACTACTATATAAATTCTCTCTCCAACAAAGTCCCAACCACAACAAACACCGAAGGACATCAAATTTCTCTCTTTCACCTCTGTGCATTTTGACTGCTCTGTTTTAGTGATATACTCTGCTTCACTTAGCTCTGTTTTGGGGGAGGTGACTTTCACCTCTTTTTCACATAAGAACATCCGTTTGGTTTTCCTGAAAAAGAATCAAGGAAATTTGAGTTGGAGAAATGTTTGCAGACACAGGAGTTTTCTTTCCCTATTTGCAGAATTTTGGGCAGGATACGCAGCAACTTGAGGTTTACTGCAAATCCCAGAAATCCAATGTTTCTATGGTACTCTTTCTTAATTTTTCTTTTACCCCTTTGAAAACTGAATCTTTATGCTTTTTGCTTTGATGATCTGCATTTCTTGAGTTGGTTTTGGTTTTGAGGTGGGTTTGAGCTTCAATTGCTTGTTTGATGAGTTGGGGTTTCTGATTTTCTTTGTTTCACTTGTTCTTTGATTGTGGTTGTTCTTGTGTTTGCTTTCTCGGACAATGAAGCCAATGAAATGGAGAAAATCTTGAGTTTCTTTAATCAGATTTCGAGTTGAATTAGGGGTGATTTCATAGGGATTGATTTTCCCATCTCCCAGATTCAATTTTTGGGGCAAATTTGATATCTTTTTGCTTTAATTGTCCGTTTGGTGGGTTTAAAACACAGGGGAAAGTGTGTATTTTGGAAGCTTCATGTTTTATGTCTTTTGGGTTCTAACAGAAAGAGTGGCTATTATTTTATTCTCTTCAACATTTTCTCAACAAACAAGTAAAATGGAAAAAATTTGAAAGTTCTCTTTACATGCTGGATCTGGACAAAGAAAGGATTGAAAAAGAGGTTGGAATATAATTAGTAAATGTGTTCCATGTCACAAGTTCCGTGTTCTTTAAGATTTCTTCCATTTCCTTCAACTTTTGGGTGTGAATGGTTGTTGGGTTTTCCACTTTATAGCCCACTTATACAGGAAGACTGAAATAATTAAGTTCTTTTCATTATTCCTTGTTTTTGGGCTCTAAGAGGGGAAATATTTGGGGTGATAAAAGGAAGTGTTTGTTTACGACTTTATTATTTGTTCCACTTTCTTTTTGGAATCTAAGCCGAGTTTGGCAAAAAAAGGGAGAAAATTAAAGTTGTACTTTAAAGTAGTTGCTTTAAGTCTTTGTCTTTTGTTATGGTGATATTCTTGCACAAAGATTGTTTCTTGCCTTCAAATATTTGTATGTTTTTCTATATGCTAAGAAGATATTTAGGGCTGTTTGATTGGGTGTATTTGTGAAGGGGTTGTTTTAGAGAGATGTGAGCTTTTAGCAAGTGGGAAAGAAAAAGGGGTAGCAAGTGGGTTGAACACAAGGAAGCTACAATGTGAACTGTGTTTTATACCCCTTTCCCTTTCTTTTGCCTAATCTTTTTCTATGGCAATCTTGTACTTGAAGCTATAAACTTTGATTTATCTGACCAGAGGTTAGGTAGTAAGTTCATTTTGAATTTTGAAATAAAGTGATGCTCCAATAAAAAAAAATTTATTGATTTTTGAGAGGATAACATCAGATGATAAATTTATGTTGGTTTCGGATATATTAGGCAAGGTATTTAGTTCTCTCTATTGGTTTGTGCATCACATCCTATTCTAAAGGTGCTCTCTTTAGCCCCTTCTAATCCCTGCCTACCGACTTTGTGCCGATGCACTAACTTGGATGACCCTTGGGCATGATTTTGGACACTCTAAGTGTTGATCTTTGCACAGAACAATGATAATCACCCCTTATCTTGAACTGGTAGGAGCAATAACTTACAATTTGGTCATAGACTTCAGGAGTACAACTAGAAGTTTTGAATTTCATAACTAGCATGATTTTCTTCCCATGAGAATCCATGGAGCTAAAACTGAGGGTTCAATGATAGCAAACAGCTCTAAAGCATGTATGGAAGTAGGCATGACAGGTTTAAAAGTTAGTTTTATATCTTCCAAAAGAAGCACTCCTGTCATTTAAGCATAATGAATCAGAGCTTTCTCTTGATTTGTATTTATTTTTCTCTTAGACTCATGGAACTGGTTTTGGCATGTAGTGCGGAAAGAACAGGGAGAGGGGTATATCTGACTCTTGAGATGAGATGTGGTAATGCAAAGATATTTCTTGAGTCATTTGTAGGACCTAGATTTCTAATTAGTTGATTTAGAATTACCTTTTCATGAGGAATAAGGGTTGATGTTTATGGCCACTATACTTATATTATACAGAAAAGTAAAACCTTTATCATCAAAGCTAAACTTTTACTGAGTGTTGATATCATCTGCCATCTGATATCTAACCTTTTCTAAAAGTGCTACATATTTGAAGGAAGGATTAAAAAAAAAAAATGAATTGATTTTTCCAGTCCCTTCTGTTTTGGTTCCTTGAGTAAGTATTCTGATTGACATGTGTTTCCCCAAAAATCCTCTAGTGGCCTCGCACGTGTGAAATCTGGATGCGGGCGTGCCACTTACTTTGCTGAAAGTAAGAAAGGAGGACTTTTCCAACGACCCTCTCCTTCGCAGCTGATCTGTCATGGAGCCCAGAATAACCAATCTGACATGGCAAAATCTCCTCCATTTAAAAATATTTTGACACGTGGCATGATCTTGAATTTTTGCAATTTATGGTGTAAACAACATGTAAGTTATATTCTTTGTTTTCCTTCATCAAGTTATTTTTGTGTTATGTAGAGCAACCTGCTTCAGGCCTCAACAATATCTGAATATGACCTGGGAGCGGAAGGAGATCTGTTCAAAGCTCCAGAACCCATAATTGAAGAACCAGGTGTAGGCCTTGATCCCATGACAGCAGCCATGTCAATCATCTCTTGTGGTGAAGATGTCATCGCCTCACAAGGACTTAAGGCTGCAGATATCGAATCTATTCAAAGTGAGCAGCTTTTGAGAGAAGTTCTCTATGACTGCGAGAAGGATCTCATGGCAACAGCAGCAATAGAAACGACACTGTCTGAGGTCCTTGATATGAAGATTCCTGTTGCAAAGATTGATGAAAATCAAAATCAAGAAAACAAAGTAATTCCTGATGTAGCTTTCCAGAAAAGTGTTAGTTCAAGTTGCTTAAGTTCAATGGATTGGATGAAAGGGCCTGCAATGAAGCCCAATTTTCTGGATTTCCCTGGAATGGATTTTGCTGCTTATGGAATGAGGAGAGCATACAGCGAAGGGGACATAAAGGTCAGCCCTAATTATTTTTCCACTTTTTTTCCTACCTGTTTCTTTCTTTCCCTTTTCTTCTTTTAGTTTTCTTTTGCTATACAAGTGCTTTTCTGCATTTGTTTGCACATCTGTTGGACTTTTGTGCTTCTGTGTCTATACGTACTTGTGCTTGCACTTTTATAAACTCTTGTGCTTCTGTGTCTATACATGCTTGTGCTTGCACTTCTATTTTGTTGCATATGTTGGTTTTCCTCGATCTTGCACTGGATTTCAAATAATTGTAGCCACTTTCATGAATACTTGGATTTCCTTTATTGAGGAGGTACCTTTCCATCCATGAAACTCCCATTATTCAGACCGCTTTGCTATATTATTTTTCGTTGGTACTTGAAAAACAAGCCACGGGTAGATAGTTTTGGTAACAAGTTGGTACCACATTCTCCAATTTACAATGAATTCAGTAAAATCTTTTAAATAGACCACTTTTAAAAACATCCATTTGTTTTCACTTGACAAATTCACCATAGGGAGTGACAAAGAACCTGCTTGACTGTTGCGTTCTTGTATGAACATTCAAAGTTAAAATGTGTGTGTTTGTGTGTGCCTGGTTTTTTTTTTTTTTTTGAAATGTTCTTCTTTTTCCCAACACAAGTCCATCAGAACCAAGTGACTCATCAATTTGAAGTGAGCACCAAGCATGTATTGCCTTCATAACAAAGTCTGTGGACTGAGAAATCTTTAGATGTTTCTGGCCATTTCCACAGGATGGGGCTGAGTCATTGATACTGAGTTTTTATGACAGACTCTCGGCAATGATAATATGAGCCTCATCTCTTCGCCTCTTGTGCGTCCATTAGTTATCAGCAGCTGCTCTACTGAAGATCGAAAGGAAAAGCTTTCCAGATACAGAAATAAGAAGACAAAGAGGAACTTTGGAAGGAAAATCAAGGTCGGATAATATTTGTTATTCTGAGAGGTTCATTTTTTTGTTTTCCCATTAAAAGAGTTCTGGGGCAATTAGCCCACTGGCCCTGAATATTTCAATTGTTATATGTGTTGCTTTCAACATCAAATGAAGGAGAAACCCCCTAGCATAGAGTGCCTAACATTTTCTGAGTCCAATTATGTTTGTTCATAACTTCCTTTTCTCCTGTTTTTCCAGTATGCTTGCCGGAAGGCTCTGGCAGACAGTCAACCAAGGATTCGTGGAAGGTTTGCCAAGACTGAAGAATCGGATACTTCCAAGAGGCTTTGACTTGACTAATGAAATGCCAAAAAAATAAGTAGCCAGATGCATTGAGGTGATGTTGCAGTAGAAGATTCGTAGTGCACTAGTGGCATAAACCTGTCAAATAGACTTTCTGGCTAGCTTAAATCTGACATTGTTAAATAAACTAGAGCTCTTCTACCAAATTAGTTCCTCTTATTCTGTAATAAGCACCTCTGTAATGAAAATGGCAACGTAGGATGTATATAGTGTTTGTTCAATAAAATGGAGCAGAAATTTGTGCTTTTGACTCATGTATCCTATGAAATGGCAATGTTTTCTCTATATCCAGGTCTGGACCAGAGTTTTCAGGGCATCGTTTGTGTTTCTCTTTAATCTCACTTGAACTCCAGAACCGGCATCCATCTTATCTTGCCAAGCTAAAATAAACTTTATGTAGCATGATTTTTCCCCGAAGATCGAATCATTTTCTTCTCCTTGGATGGTAGTGGTGGCTTCAAAAATCAACCCAGAATAAAAGAAGATACCAACAAAGCAGGGAAGTCATTTTCTTCTGTATTAGGTAAGACGTGTCTATCGGGCTCTCATGCGTACGTTGACTGCCGAGGTCTTACAACAATTTTCTTCAAAGGAGTCATGTTTTCATGGGGCCACTTGATGCCTGCTTTGAAGGTCACTATTATTTGCTTTCATAATTCACAATTTGATCCATTAATGGAAAGCATCTCACCTGCTGCCAATCCAGAAAGAGCGATAGGAAGAATGTTCAACACGGTTTTGGTTGAACTGAATGCCCAAAACTGGCCATAACTCCTGCATTTATAAAGAATGTACTCCCCTCGCCTTCATTGTTGCATTGGAGTCATTCAAGAACAAGAAAACTGGCAATTTATCCCCTCCCCACCGGGGTATTCAAGAGACACATGACCTTGAGTACTGATTCATGGTTTTGCTGCCATCATACCCATTGCCATTGGAGTTGACTGGCTGAACAACATCCTGACCGGCTAACATCCACCACCTTTGCGGCTCTGCCCTACGTTGGAGCTCCATATCTGCCAGTTCACTACTCTACTTCACGTGCGAGTAATCTTTTGACCCGGTAAACCACAGCCATACAAAGTTACCCACCTTCCATTCCGCGGTCCTCTCCTTTTCCATCGAACATCAACGCCACCATCCATTTAGATTCCCAGATTCAAAAATTCCTTGTACTACTACTATGTTGGGAGAGCATCACCAATTATTAGATTCACTTTGATTCTTGCAGATATGGTAACCATCCGTAGATTCATGGTGAAATGTCAACATGCTGTTTCAAACTTCCAATTTAGGGCAAGCAAGACCTTACCAAAACAGAAATAACCAAACCAAACATTATCAAATTCATGTCAACCCTCCTTAATCCTGCAATTTTCAGATGTACCAACTTCATCAATATACGGTCACATCTTAGTGTCCATCATCTAACCCATCAGCAAAATCATCCTCTTTATCATAATTTCTAACCTAACCCACCAACACTATCCATTTTAAAACATGCCATCTACACAAAAGCTGCTTAAATCATTCTGCCACTAGAACGAGTAAGGAGAACATGTCCTCCACGGGGCGGCCGCGGCCGCGGCTGCCACCGCTGCCACTAGCCTGCCGGAACGTGGGCATCATAGCCTGTGGTCATGTCCTGCCCCTTTCCACAACTAATTCAAAATTAGGAACTAAATAACACCATCTATGATCTATAATTCCGTCTTTGACAGCATTAACATGTAAATTAATTTCCATCTTGTGAAATTAATTACCAACATAAAAAAGGCAAGAACTTTAATCCTTTTCATAGATTCATACTTCCCAAAATACCCTCCAAGAAAATGGTGGGAAAGCAAAATCCAATTGAATTCCCTCGACCTCCCTGTTGACACCATCCCTCGTTCTCTTCATCAGAAGACCAAAACCCATATCCGAAAACAGTTCAGTACATCACTAAATCCAGAAACTAAAAAAAAAAAAACCATTTTTGACCCGTATCCAAATTCCAACCTCTAGAACAGACATTCTAGACGCTCCCAACTTTGACGACTTTCTTCCATCAATAGACCTCTGAAAACATCATCGTAGATTCTTATGGCCGTACCCCACGGTCAAAAGCCAGACCAAACACACAAAAATTCATGAAAAAACATATATAATATATGAACAAAGTTAAATTCCATGCTGCCCATGTAATAAATTTCCAGACCCATTTCTCAATTTCTCTTCGATTTAACCCGAACAACAACACATAATCAACAATCAGCAATCCAATCATAAAAAAACAGTATCACACAAAAAAAGGTAAGAAATTAAGAATCAATGATTAAATGTTCCAACTTTCTTGGAACTAACTTGGGGACAGAGCTCTGTGTTCAAACTTTTCAGACAAAACATTGAGATATACTAAAAAATTAAAAATTTAGAAAAAAAGGGAAGTAAATTCTTCAGGGAATCAGAATCAGCAAGGAGAGAAAGAGGAAGTGATTGCAATCACAGCACACACAAGGGTGCAAGTTAGGGCATTAACCGCATTGTAACACTCACATGCGCCCGCCCGTACAGTATTTATCTTTGCTTTCACAAGATAGATAACGCCATCGTCGACTCCTCTCTTTCTCTCTCTTCCAAACAGCTTTTTTTTTTTTTTTGGTTCTGCTTTTCCTTACCCAAAAATTTCCCGGAAAACTGTATTTTTCCTGCGATTTATTGGCTTCATGGTGTTTTAATACTAAGAATGGCGATGGGATTTTATTAAATTTTTAATCTTTCATCTCTTTTCTTTACTTCTGAAGCAGCTGGGGGAGAGAGAAAGCACTGTCGAAACAGATCTCTATTCTGTCCAGACCCCGTACTTCTCGTTTTCTCCATTGAGTTTTCGTCCATTTGTTCAATTGAGTTTTCTTTCGTTTCGTTTCTTCTCTTTGAATTTCCTCTGTTTGTTTTCTGAGAAAGAGGAAAAGGGTCTCTGTTGGTTTGGTTCATTGGGTAGTTTTCCTCTGTTTCTGGGGATTCTGTTGCGATTAGGGTTTATGGGTGTTTTAGAGATTGGAGATTTGATGGGGAATCCAGGACGGTTTTAGCGTTGACAATTAGAACAAAGAAAGCCTTGAGTTGTGGATGGTAATTGATTTGATTGATTTATTGATTTGGGGAGATATGATAATCAAGCGGAACCTCAAATCGCAAATGCCGAGTTTGAAACGGTGCAGACTCGGCAGTTCAGGGGGTGAAGACGAAGATAACTCGCGAACAATTCGTAAGAAACGAAAAGTGGACAAGTATTATCCTTTGAATCTCCTCGGAGTGGTCGCCGCCGGAATAATTCCGGTGAGTCTCCACGGTATACTTGGCCCCAAGGAGATCGCTGCCTCGTGGTGCACTGAAGTCTCTTGCTCCCCAGGTGAAGTGGAGTCAAAATCCAAGGGCTCTAATTCGTCCATGCCCAAGAAGGAGGTTTCTCGGCCTCCGCTTGTGAGGACGTCGAGAGGTCGAGTTCAGGTACTTCCTTCTCGGTTTAAGGATTCCGTTATCGAGAATTGGAAGAAGGAGAGTAAAACTAGTTTTGATGATGATTCTGAGTGCAAAAAGGATAAAGTCAGTTTTAAGACACCCAAAACTTGTAAAAAAGATGTAAAAATCAGAGGAAATGAGGAGAAGAATGGGTATAGAAGTGGAAAATATCCTACATTGCGCCTGGAAGATGAAGTGGGTAATAATTGTAGTTTTGATGTTAGGAAGTATTCAAGTTCACGTGGTTCACTAACTTCAGTACATGAGCAATTGATTGAGGATGCAAATGTAGAGACTGTTAATGTAATAGGGAAGAAGCCGATTGTGAAGGAGAAGAATGGTGAGAGGAAAGATGGGTTGTATGGGCCTGAGGATTTTTATTCAGGTGACATAGTATGGGCAAAGCCAGCAAGGAAGGAGCCATTTTGGCCAGCCATTGTGATTGATCCCATGACCCAAGCACCTGAGCTGGTTTTAAGGTCTTGTATACCAGAGGCAGCTTGTGTGATGTTCTTTGGCCACTCTGGGAAAGAGAATCAACGGGTATGAATTGCTTTCTGCGTGGTGTGTGTTCTATTACTGCATTTGTGTCATTAATTATACCTGTGATGTGGTGATTGATTATGTTGCTTTGTAATGATCACAAGCAGGATTATGCATGGGTCAGGAGAGGGATGATTTTTCCATTCACAGACTTTGTGGACAGGTGAGTAGTTGGCTTTATTTATGGAGTAATTGAATTTTAATTTTAGTTATTGATATGTGCTAAGGAGAAACTCTGCTTGGTACAGGTTTCAGGAGCAGCCAGAAATTGGCAGCTGCAACCACAGTGGTTTCCAGATGGCAATGGAGGAGGCTTTTCTGGCAGAGCAGGGGTTTACAGAGAAATTGATACAGGATATAAACATAGCAGCTGGAAATCCAATTCATGATGAATCTGTTCATAGATGGTCTCACTCTCAGGAGGCTACCAGTTCAAACCGGTATCAGGACCACCATTCTCCTAATCAGGCGGGTTTTCTTTACAGTACCATCTTGTTCAGTGGTCTCCTGACTTTTTCCATCTTCCTTCTTGAGTTCAACCTTTTTGTGAAGCTCTAAAATCATCTTTTGTGCTCTTTTGAAGTCCTGCTGGTTGGAGCTTGAATGAATCATTGGTTTAGGGTTGAAAAAACTAACCCCTTACTTAAAAAAGAACAATATCTTCTCTTTCTTAATGGTTAATATGATTTCTTCTTCTTCTTCTTCTCCTCCTTCTTCTTCTCCTCTTATTTTTGTAATCTTTCTTAGCTTTACTGTTTCTACCACAAATGAAAACTGGAGCATGAAAAAGTTTTTCTTCCAAGTTTTCTGAGTTTAAAAGGTTTAGTTTCCCTTTCGCAGGTATTATATTGGAAGTATAGAGATTCGAGACCTTGTGAAGTCTGTGGCACCAGCCTTCCTTTTAAAATGACAAAGAAAATGAAAGCATCAGCTCCTGCAGGCCAATTCTTATGTAAAACATGCACTAGAGTCTGTATCAATGCGTTTTGTGGAACTTATTCTAATTTTTAAATCTGCATTATATGTTGTAATTATTTCTTTCACAAACTCATTTTGCAGTTAACTAAATCAAAGCATTATTGTGGAATATGTAAGAAAATTTGGAATCATTCAGATAGTGGGAGTTGGGTGAGGCCACCTACAAATCTGTTCTGAAGTTGTGATTAACTTTATACTGCTTCAGTTCAACAGCTTATTTTATTAATATTTGTCTGGTTATCCATACTTAATCAGGTACGTTGTGATGGTTGCAAAGTTTGGGTGCATGCTGAGTGTGACAAAATCTCAACCAATCATTTCAAGGTCTGTGAATCAAAATTCCATCTCTTTATTATATATTCTGTCTTTAGAAGGAGATAAAGAAATAAAGCCCCAGCCATCCCTGACCAATCTGTTTTTGTTTTGAAGGATCTTGGGGGCACTGACTACTACTGTCCTACTTGCAAAGCAAAATTTAATTTTGAATTATCAGACTCAGAAAGGGGGCAACAGAAAGCAAAGTAATTACATTCTCTTTTAAATAAATGTCTTTTTTTTTTCCTTCTTTGGAAATTTAACAGTATTACTACCATAATTATTTTTGTTTTAGATATTTTACTTTTATATATAAGAAAGTTTTATGTGGCCACTCTGACTGTTGTTTACTGAGTGTTTTAACTAATGGTTGTAAAAACCTTTGAATCTTTGATGCAGATCAAATAAAAATAATGGTCAACCAGCACTCCCTAACAAGGTTACTGTTATTTGCTCAGGCATTGAAGGTGTATATTTTCCAAGCCTCCACTCGTAAGTACAATATGTTTCAGATGTGCATGGGTTTCTTTGTCCTTATCTTTTCTCTTTCCATCTAGGGAAGATGTTAAAAATTAAAATTTCTTATGTTCCCTGCAGTGATTGAATTCCCGTAAACTTCTTTACTTGTTTCAAATAATTCCTGAAGTAGATACTTTCATATAAACTGATTATCCCACAGCTAATGGCTTGATATCTTTAATTGTATACAGAGTTAGTTAAGTGAGCAAATTTATAGCCAATCATTAATTACTTTACTTTTTTTTAACAAATAATCAAGCAACCTCTCTTGACTGGGAATATTATTGCAAACCAAGACAAGTTTGTAACATGCTCTTCCAGGGATAAGTAATATAGCTTTCTGATGTTTTTCCATGGGAGAGTTCTTTCTATTAATTTATATATATTTGTATTTTCCTGCCTCAGAGTTGTGTGCAAGTGTGGATCATGTGGGACAGGAAAGCTAGCACTAAGTGAGTGGGAACGGCATACTGGTTCCAGAGAAAGAAATTGGAAGATTAGCGTGAAGGTGAAAGATTCCATGCTGCCACTAGAACAATGGGTTTGTACAACATTTTAATCTTTCTTCATTACTTATTTTGCATATTGTGTCTCTCCTTTGGTTTGTGTTTTTAAATAATTTACTGTTGTAAAAACTGAAAAATGGATTCTTTATGAGATCAAGATCTTGTTTCCTAAAATAATGATATTACCTATTGTCTAAAACACTTCTACACCCCTCTCTAAGCTGCTGTTTTATGTTGGCGCAACTATCAATGAACATATTTGTTATACCAAACATTCCCTGGGAAGTGGGAACAGCATACCTTCTATTGCACAGAACTTGTAACTTTTGAAGACATTGCTTTACTTTTTCCTCCTTTTTTTTTTTTCAATAAAATTAGTATTAATACCAAAAATAAGAATCTGAAATTGCTGAAATTAAAGGAAAAATATGCTCATATCTCCGGCACACTTCCATGCTTATCTGAATTAGGGAATTCCTGATATGAAAATACACTGTCCCTTTTTTCCCTGCCAAAACCTAAGAGTTCTCAAACAATGTATAAAACAAGTGAAATGCCTACCAACACAACGAGATGCAACCTATAACAGCATCCTTATTGTTAGCAGAGCATTTTATGTTAAAATTTGATGATTTTTATTTTTCTTTGCTTTAAGCTCTCTCATCAATACTTCCTTAATTTTACTTGTTAAGAGGGTTTTCTTTTGGCTTGTTTCTTCCCTTGTTAACATGTTATTCTCTGACTCTGTGCTGTTTGTGTGTATACCTGTGGCACCTTTGTTTTTGGAATAATTGTGGCTGTTTGTAGAATTTGAAGTTTGACAGAGAGTGAAATGATTGGTTTTGTCAGTTTTTTAGTTGTTACATAACCTCCTAGAGATTCATTTTTTCATAAGTTCTCATTTTACTTTGCAGATGCTGCAGTTAGCAGAGTACCATTCAAATGCCACAGCTCCTGTCAAACCTCTTAAACGGCCTTCTATAAAAGAGAGAAAACAGAAGTTGCTTGCTTTCTTGCAGGGTATACTTTTTTAGACATCAATTTTACAATTTGATTTTATTCTGTTTTGTTGACTTATTTTGGTTGTTCTAATTTTTACATTTGCTATGATAGAGAAACATGAACCAGTTTATGTTAAGTGGACAACCGAACGATGTGCTGTATGTAGATGGGTTGAAGATTGGGACTACAATAAAATTATTATCTGCAATAGGTAACTTCAATGCAGTTCACTTTTTGCATAGATACTGTATCTAGATTCATTGTGGTTATGAACCAATGACCTGATACTAATACATTAGTGTGAAAAGTTACCAACTAGCTACTTTTGTTCTTTGTTTTATTGACCTTATTGCTGCTTGTTAGACTGTGCTTAGAATAGTGATGTGTTTAAGGTAATTTCATGTTTTAATCCTCATTTTATTATTGTTTGTATTGGCCTGATGTGTGGAAGTGTGAGATGTGCGTACATTCAGCTTCACTTTTGCTGCAGTGTGATGAATGGCAGTTGAGCATTAAATAATTTTTTTCAGAAGTTTACATTCTCATATAAACTAGGCACAGTGAAAAAACTCTTTGTTGGAAAGGATTTCACTATTTTATTGGTTATCAGACTGATTGCCTTTTTTATTATTTTATCAGATGTCAAATTGCCGTACATCAAGAATGCTATGGGGCAAGAAATGTTCAAGATTTCACTTCTTGGGTTTGCAAAGCATGTGAAAAACCTGATGTTACACGGGAGTGCTGTCTTTGTCCTGTGAAAGGCATGCTCATTAGACTATCTTCCTAGTTCATTTTTTGTTGAGCCAGTTTTCAATGTAATTTTTTAAGTAATTAACAGCCAGTTTATTTTCATATTTCAAGTTCCCCATATCTCAAATGCTTTTATAAGTTCTGAAGGATTGTCTTTTGGCTGTTGTTATGTATGGATCATTTGTGTATGCATGAAGCTTTCCTTATCTTTGATTTTATTGTTTTTGCTTACCATAATTATTTGTGTTCCTTCACTGGTTCAGGAGGTGCTTTAAAGCCGACTGATGTTGAGACATTGTGGGTTCATGTCACATGTGCTTGGTTTCAACCTGAAGTCTCTTTTGCAAGTGATGAAAAGATGGAACCTGCTCTTGGAATCTTGAGTATTCCATCAAATTCTTTTGTGAAGGTAGACTGTCTGGTCTAATCATAATTTCTTTTTAACTTTTCCAGCTTGAGTCTTGTTATAATTAAATTTAAAATCTTGTAATTATATCCCAACTTTTTGTTTAATTAAAAAATGACATAGTGGTGTAGTTCATGTAATCTGTTAGAGTGCATGTTATGGCCTGGGTTGACAACTTCAGTCAAAACAGTGGTGTCATTCTATTTTTATAAGATGCAAATATGTTATGATTAAGTTTTGTTGGTAAAAGAGAACAATATTTTCCGTACTCTTGAGAAGTGCTTATTTTCTGCTTGACACGGTTGACTATGCTTATATTATTGTATATCTTCAGTGTAACAATATGCTGAAATTATCCAGAATGCACTCGTGTGACATTGTGTTAATCTAGTATATCTTGTATTTTTTATCAATGAAAGCATGTTGATGGCTTTATAAGCTGGTTGATGTTATATGAATACCAGCAATCTAAATTTTCCTTTTTAAATGAATTTCAGATTTGTGTTATTTGCAAGCAAATTCATGGTTCTTGCACGCAATGTTGCAAGTGTTCCACATATTACCATGCAATGTGTGCCTCAAGGGCTGGGTACCGAATGGAGGTGAGCCTTTTAACTCATTTTTTTATCTTAGTACTTGCACATGCAGTTTAACTAATAAAATAGGGAGGAGACAACCCCTCAGCATCCTACGTGCATAAAGTAGTAAATTTTGAATTTTAAAAATTTTCACACAATAAATCATTACTGAACATGAGTTATGACTAACCCCCTTTTTGGTCTGAGTGGAGGGGGTTGGGGAGGGAAATGGAAGGATATTGTCTCCCCTCCCCTCTGTTTCCCTCAAACCAAACAGGCACTAAGAGTCTTGCGAGTGTTGTTCAACTTAAGAAATGTTACAAGTAATGCAACCTATGTCATGGGGGCCATATTTCTAGGTGTAGGTTTATCTATGGGAGAGAATATCAAAATCAAAATTCAAGATTAAATTTGCATCTGTATTTCTTGAGGCTGCAATATTGATAAATTTGGGTCTTCTTTAAATTGACCAGTGTTTGCGTGACTGAAGAAAGTCTTTCCCAGTCAGCTTAGGGTCCCAAGGAGACTGTCCAATGCTAAGCATGTTTCTCCTAAAAGAAAACCATTATTTTATACTTCGCTGGTCTCATGTGCTTGCACTTTCCCTACCTTCTCTCATTGAAATTAGAATGGCATTATGTTAATCCCGAAGAGAAACAGTAGAACATTTAATCCCAAAGAGAAACAGTAGAACATTCGGAAATCCTTTCTGAGATAATATGTGGCATATATGAAGACATTAAAAGCTCAAGTTGTATCACATATATAATATGTTTAAATTCATGTTAAAAGTTGAATTAAGAAAATGAAGATCCTGTTCTCTCACTGTTGGATTGAACTTTTGTGGTTAAAATTGCAGTTGCACAGCTTGGAGAAGAATGGTAGGCAAAGAACAAAGATGGTGTCGTATTGTGCTTATCACAGGCCTGCTCAAAACCCCTATCTGCATTATTACATTTGCAATAGTTAACATCCACTAACCCCTAGTTCTTGTTTCTGTCCTCATGGTTTCAATTTTGTGCAGGGCTCCAAATCCAGATACAGTTTTAATTATACAGACACCACTAGGTGTTTTCTCCACCAAAAGTCTCCTTCAAAATAAAAAGAGGATGGGTTCAAGGCTTATTTCGTCTAATAGAGTAAAAATTGAAGAGGTTCCAGTAGTAGAAACTACTGAGTTAGAGCCATTTTCTGCAGCAAGGTGTCGAATTTTCAGAAGATCAAACAACAATAGAAAGGTAAACATGTATATAGATATTTACCAGCTTCCTGAATATATCATTGTTGGAACATCGCCCTAGCCATCTAATTTGTGGAAATTGTAGCCAAATGGTCTCTTCCCCAAGTCTCCATCCTAGGGTGCTTTTGTTTTGTTGGGATGCTGGTAGTCATTTCTCTAAACAGTCTTCATATGTTCTGCTGTGAAAGAACAAAAAACAATAGAAGAACAACCAGGCTTCCTTTCCTTCCCAAGGCATTTTCCTTCCCAAAAGAACCACTAGGAAGATGATCGGAGTTCCTTTGATTTCTGTTGTCTTAACCTTTGCATTTTTTCCCTGTTATTTAGAGAACACAGGAGGAAGCAATTGCCCATCGAGTGATGAGACCTTGCCATCATCCTTTAAGCACAATACAGAGTCTTAACATATTCAGAGTAAATTTCTTCCCTTCTCTATAATAATTGAGTTTCTTTTGCTCTTTTGTCTTTATAATTTAAGAATAAAAAAAGGTAACCCCTGTTTTCATGCAGTATTGATTTTTAACTTTCACCTGTGACAGGTGGTTGAGGAGCCCAAAAGTTTTTCATCTTTTAGGGAACGGCTTTACCACTTACAGGCAAAATCTTTGTCCTACTTTCTTTTGACCTTAGTATTTCTAAATGATCTCTATTAACTATCTACTTCTCATGTATTATAACTCCAGAGGACTGAACATGATCGAGTTTGCCTTGGTAGATCAGGAATACATGGGTGGGGTCTTTTTGCCCGGACAAGCATTCAAGAAGGAGACATGGTATTAAAGAAAACCTTTTATATATTTTCAAATTAGTTACTCAAGGTTACCAATGTTATCTCAGAGGCCCCTTCTCTGACTTCTTGTATGATTCATGGAGTTTTCCTTTGTTTGAAACTACAGCTGACATAAATATATGCCATTCTGCAGTAGAATTGGAAAGAATATTATTGTTTATTCTCTTTAATATCCTGCTTGATTGAAATACATGTAAACTCTATCTTTTTAAACAATTCGAATTTAGCCTCTTTTGATTCCTTTGCAACTAACAGACAGTTGCCACATGCTTGTGTCTCTCCAGGTTCTTGAATATCGTGGGGAACAGGTGAGGGGTAGTGTTGCTGATCTGAGAGAGGCACGTTATCGACTGGAAGGAAAAGACTGCTATGTGAGTTGGTGTTTCCTTTAAACATATAGGTTATTATGGCATTTATGTTAAGTAATGTTACAAAATAATTTTTCTTTGTACACTTTGATAGAGTGATTGTAAAATACAACGTTTTTGCAGTTGTTTAAGATCAGTGAAGAAGTTGTAGTGGATGCCACTGACAAAGGGAACATAGCACGCCTAATCAACCATTGTGTAAGTCAAAAGTTTTTTCAATTCCGAATCCTTCATTAAAAGCTTTTTCCAGTCTCTGCAATGAAGTGCTCTATTTTGACTCGGTTCTTCATTCTTCTTTATTGCAGTGTGCACCCAACTGCTATGCAAGAATTATGAGTGTGGGAGATAATGAGAGCCGGATTGTCCTTATAGCTAAGACTAACGTGTCTGCTGGAGACGAACTAACGTACTTGACTCTTATCTCTGTATGGAGTTGTTGAGTTCCCAAGTTGCAAAATCTTAATTCATGCTGTTTCTCATTTGCAGGTATGATTACTTGTTTGATCCTGACGAACCAGAAGAGTTCAAAGTCCCATGTTTATGTAAAGCTCCAAATTGTCGAAAATTCATGAATTAGGACACACAGCATAGCACAGCACACAAGCCATTTTTTCTCCGCGAGGATCACTAACCCAATCTCACAGTCGTCAACCATACCAAATTTCTAGTTGTTGCCAGAAGTTGAGCAAAAATGTGCTTCTTGTTTCGTTTGTTTTTCATTACCTTTTTCTGTATCCTTTTTCAACTAATTTGATAGTCAATAAAAGTCTTAGATTAGATTCACCAGTTGAGTTTTAGGTATTTGTGTATAATTTTGAGAGCAGAGGGTTTTTTTTTTGGGCAAAAAATAGAAAATATTTGTGAGACCACTGCTTTATCCTCATAAGTAAATTTATTCCCAACGTATTTTTTATTGAGTAGATCAGAAGAAAACCAACAATCCTTAATTTTAAGACAGATTAAGATAATTTAAAAAGATAATAATCTTAAGATAATACACAAGACTGGTTAAGATGTATAAAAAAATTAATTTTAAGGTATATACAAGATTTGATCAGGGCATAAATTGTTATATTCAGTATGAAACTAGGAGTGCAAAACAAAAACAATTTCGGAAAGAAGTTAATAACCAATTATTTCCTAATTAAATCAGGAGTAGTCCTTAGATACAGTACTTATATATATATCTTAGATTTAATCCGAGGCCTCCAACACTACTGCCTTTGCTTAATTATACGCCATGGAAAAGGAAAAGAAGAAGAGGAAGCTGGAAATTCCAGACATCACCATGGACGACTTCCGCCGAAGGAACATAAACGATAAACCTTCTTCTCCTTGGCTTGGTCTCTTAACCGCCGTAGAAGTGGCCGCTGAGAAGTATGAAGAAGCAAAGAATAAGTTTAATGGAGCTGATGATGACGGTGATGATGATGGTGAGAAGGAGGAATCCTTTTTCACGAAGAAAAAGTTGGTGTTCAAAAAGCCTGTAAAGAAGTCATCTTTAACAATCAAGTTAAAGAAGGGCGGTGGCTTGGATGATGATCACGAAGAAAAGAGATTCTCCGCAAAGGAGAAATTGAAGAAGGCGGCGTTGAAGCAGGAGAATGTTCCGGTTCCGGATCTTCCTCAGGAATTTCGAGACAAGATGAAGAAACTGAAATGCACCGAACCAATTCTGTTGATTCAGAAATCATTGACTAACACTGATGTAGAAAACGGGCAGTCAAGGTTATCAATACCGTTTGGACAAGTGAAGACGATGCAGGCTTGTAATTTCTTGAACTTGGCAGAGATGATGATTGTTTCAAGTAAAAGTAATGGTGGGGTGGTGGTGAAAACGTTTATTGAGCCGTCGGTTGAGGTGTCGGAGATGGTGTTCAATAAGTGGGATATGAGGAAGAGTACGGGGAACGGGAGCCCCATGTTTGTTCTGATAAACAAGTGGAATGATGTGAGGGAGAGGAATCAACTTAAGAAAGGAGATGTTGTTCAGGTGTGGGGGTTCGAGGATGTTGAGAAGAAACTTGGTCTTGCTCTGGTGAAGGTTGCAAGTTGAGGAGGAGGAGGAGGAGGAGATGGGAGGACCATTGGAGTTCATGATGATGGAGGAAGAATGTTGCAGTGAAAGGATCTCTCACCTTTTTCTTTTTTTTTTTGGCTATGGTGCTAAAACGTGCATGGGAATTTCTTGCTGCTTCTTTTTTTTTATTATTATTATCTTGGAGTTCTTTCTAATATATACTTGATGATTTTTTTTTTTTGGTGGTAATATATACTTGATGATTGATATTAGGGTTTTATGATTATTAATTTCAAGAGAAAATCATATAAGGTAAAATTAAGATTTTAAAATTAATAAATATTAATTCTACTAAGCTTTGTTAAAATTCTTTTTGGTTCTGTGTAGTATTTATGCATTAATCCCAATTTAGTTTGATTCTAAAGGCAAATTCTTATTTTAATTTATTGACAGCAAGCGAGAGAAGTGGACCCTATCAAGTTACCCGTACGAAGAAATTGCATGTTGTATTGCTGGTCAGATCATAGATTTTGTGTTTTATGGATTTTTTTTTTTTTTACCAACAAGAGAAAACTTCATTATTAAATTATATATATATAAAAAAAACCACTAATGAAAACTTCATTCAATTCGGAATTTCAATCCATTGTATTTGTAATAGATGGGTTTTCTTTTGTTAACCTAAAAAAATTTATTTTTCAAATTAAACAACATAATAAAAATATAATCTAATTTATAAATTTATTAAAGTATCTTTATTTAAATATTTTTCTATATTCCTTCAAAAAAAATATTTTATAAGATAAAATATATTTTATAAGTATATTTTATTTTATAAATTTATTAAAACATCTTTTAATAAAATTATTTATTATATTTTTATATTATTTTAATAAAAATATTTTGATAAATTTATTCAAAAATTATATTTTTAATGTACAGTATAAATTATAATACATAAAGCCCTTTTTCATTACTGTCAATTTAGTACTCAAACTACACTTTTTTTTATAATCCCGCCTAAAAAACAAGAATATCTTTCATTAATTGCAATATCCACAAGAAAAATCATTCATAAAAAAATCTTTTCTCATAAGACATGATAATAAAGCCTCGCGATCTAATATGACAATAATCATAACATTTATTAGATACTTGAAGAATCTAAAGATGCATGGGGAAAGAATAAAAGGAAAGAACCATATCATATCGCATGGAACTAACGCGTGTATAAAGAAAAATAAAAATAAAAATAAAAGGACTACTTCATGCTTCCTCATTTAATATGATGTTTGATATGATCAAGGAATAATCTGCAGAAAATACAGCATTGATTCGATTCATGCAAGCAGTGACACAAATGCATAGAGCTCTACTTAGCGGATCTGAAATGAACAACAGACAGACGATGAAGGGGAATTCATTGTTACTCAAAACATTAAAAAGGGAAATCAAGAAGACAAGCAGATGTTGTTTCATGAGCCAGTGATGAACCTATGTTTCTAGACAAATGCAGCTTCCATTCAAATAAGGCAAACAAATATAATCATGATGCGGAGATGCAAAAAGATGCCTGGAGATTTTGTTTTATTTCCTTGAAAAGACGCAACAAAAACACTAGGAACAAAAATAATGAAAACGCATTAAAGAACAAGGATATAGAAATTGTTTCAATGTGTATTTTCAGGGGAATCATGTATCCGACTTAAAATTACCGACTCAGACTCATTTGATTCAGGCATTAAGACCCCAGATACCTTAGAAGAATCACCTGACAAAAATAAAGAACCACTAATTGCATCATCAAAAGCCTGCCTCTCCTTAGGGCAGTTGACAGAAGAATAATCTTCCATTTTATCTATGTTATTTGGGTTTTCACAATCGGTGAGCAGAACAGCAGCCTGCAATGCAGTATCCCTTCTGCCCGCATCCTCCAAGATCATCTGTTCAGACTTAACTTCGTCCAACTTATCACCATTCAATACCGGTTTAGGCTCTTGTGGACTTTCATTAATGACATCTGGATTTGGCAACTCTAGTTTCTCCTGAGAAGGGTTCTCAGCATGATCTTGGCACTCCTCACCTTGAACTGAAGCTAGCACCATCACATTTTCCTGAGAAGCAACAGGTGAAATGGCACCTGATCTCATTGTATCTGAATTTGGTGTTGCTGCATCTGGCATTTCTGCCTCAGATATCATAGCCAGCTCCTGTGTTTTTTCCAAATTGTGAAAGCAAACTTTCTCCTCCTTTTGCTCCTGATTGGATGCTGAAACAAAATCTAATACCTGGCTATTAACAGGTGGCAAACCACTCATTTCTAGCCTTTGCCTCTTGTAGAGATCCAAAGCTTTCTGCAAGATGATGACAGAAAAACCCCAATCATCATCAGTTAAAAATCAACTGTTCCAACAATTATGATATATAACATTTAGTAGAATAAATTTAGCAGCCTCAATCTTCTGAAAGGAATTCCTCAATCTTCTAAAATTGAGATGCAAAGATTCAAAGGAATCAATTCTTCAAAGATCCCAACATGTGGCCATTCCATTCTTTAACAGATTTAATTGTCTAAGTACACAAAGCCATCTTATTCTCGTTTTTGCAAAAACATTACCATTTTCCAGATGAAAACCATCCATTTCAGACAGAATAAAAAAGAAAAAAGGGAATAGAATAGAAAACATTGGAGGGAGAATCTTGAAGAATTACAAAACCCTGCATGTTAGGAATTAACTCAGGCAACAAATTATATAAGCCCAATAAATTCACCAACACAAGCATGATGATAAAAGCTTCTAAGTAAAGATTTTTCCTTCTTGAAAGTGGCTTCCTAGTTAAGAAAAACAGCAAGGAAGGACAGATCTATTACCCACCACAGACAACGAATACAAAAGAGGACATAACTGACACCCAACCAGAACTGACAGGACCAACAAAGATCCTTTAAGAATTAAGAATCACAATCATGTCAGTCTAATAAATAAATCACAGCAACACAATTATGCCCAATACATAACCAGGCCCAAGTAGTATGAGTAACAAAATGAAACGAATTTAATTGATCAGAAATGTGAAAGAAGTTAGTATTCCTAAATATGTATATAAACAATCCATCCTAGAAATAACTGGGTTACAATATTCCTCAGTTTATAACTACCTTTAAAATAAAATTGCTTGCTGGAGGGATAAGTGATGGATTCAGCAAGCCAATAGAAGCTTTGACTACCGCACGCCCACCATCCTGTCAAAATAGTAATACAAAAAAAAAAGAAAGAAAAGAAAAGAAAACACGAGTCAGAACACATCAAATCAGATAATAAAAGGCAGTCAGTTAGATGTAGATTCCTTACCTTTAAATTTACAAACATAGCTGCATCTTTAACCAAAGGTTCACTCTTCTCCCCATCAAATAAGCTCATACACTGGCCATACAACTCCGAACCAGCAAGTTCTGTTGAAATGTCAAGCTTAGAAAGATAAACATGGCAAAAATGAGCACTATTGTCATCACTTGATACTTTAGAAGAATCATATGTTGGCTCATGTGCAATCTCAGGTGGGGATTTGGAAGATTCTTTTGCCAGCAATGGGATATCAGATCTAATTTCTTGGTTTTCTGCCTGAACACCATTCTGGTTACTTTCATATGGACACTTCTGACCATCTTGTCCATCAGAGACATCATCAGCTGGGGCCTGGGCAGGATTATCCTCTTTCTGGAATGTGGAAGACAAGTCAGCATCAGCATTTTGTCCTTTCCACACCTCTGAATTGGCATCCCATCCCCGACCATTCATTGGATGCCTATTCTGGTCCCACTCAGGCCCCCCATACATGTGTGTTTCATCCCTAAAAACATTATTTCCATCCCATCCATGCAAATGGGATGGCCCTGAGCCATCTATCATATTTGGCCAGCCAATTGGGCGCATATGACCAGAAAACCTTTCAGCATCAGGGATGTGATACGGAATCCCTGCATGATTAATGTCCATAGAGGGTCTGACACCAAACAGAGTGGGGGAGGGAAATGGTGGCATCATAGCTTGGAAACCACTATGAGGTGGACCATGTTGAAATGGGATAAAGCCATTTGAAACTGGTGCAGCCCAATTTGGAGTACCCCTCCAAGCATTTCCTTGCCCTCTGCCAACAATGGGATCACCACTTCTCTTGAAACGAGAACTGAAGTTAATTCTGTTATCTTCTTCCATAGATCCCATTAAAGAAGGGCTCCCATGTCCAGGTCTAAAACCAGGTGGTGGATAAATCAAAGATGAGTTGCCTTTACTATTATAAAATGCTGAATCCTGAGAGGACTCATCCAAAAGAGGCTTCTCAGATGGCAATTCCCGAGTTGTTCTGTCTTCAACAGAATTGCCACCCCTCCGCCCTGTTTCTTCAATGTCAAGACTCCGCCTACCACCAACTCTTGTGTATCGACCATCAAGACTTGTTGAAGAAGGAGATCTTTCAGTGAAACTGGTTGGGGAAGCTTTAGAACTTGACGACCTCTCAATTGGCAACTCCCCCTGGCCATCATCAACTTTACTAGATTTCTCCATAGTTCTATACTTATAGCCTCTATCTGATGATCCAGAGAAACCAGTTACATCTCTTGAAGCTCCTTTGGACCTATGTTCGGTAACAGGGTCCTTATACTTGGTATCTTCCTGTTTTACATGTCTGAAAGAAAAAACAATGTTATATCACACTCAGAAAACAAAAGCATGAGGATACAAGGGGCATATTATGAGAATCTAGGTCAGATTGGAGAATGTAAAGCATGAAAAAGGGGGAAAAAAAAAAAAAAAACACTTTGTAGTACATCATTCTCTTCAGGGTAATACACAACCTGGCATAGAAAGGAACATAAAAAGGACCTGAAATCATCAGCACCAACATGGGAACTGGAGCTTGGAGAAGTCCATCTTTTGTTGCCACCTACAACAGCCTCTAGATGAGCTTGACGTGAAACAGACCTTCCCCTATCAGCATCTGATTCAACTCTACTACTGCTAAAAGATTTATTTTCTATGTCAGAAAATTGAGTTTTGACACCTCTGGCTTTGGTATCATCAATATCAACATAGTCATCTGGAGATCTCTTCCTTCCCTTGCTATCTTTATGTCTAGCATTCCGATCATCAAGATAATACCCATCACGGTCATAGTCAACATCTCGATCTCTGCCATGATCTCTGTCCTTGTCATTCTCACGACGATCATGGTCATGATAACGGTCTCGATCCCGCTCTGGGTTTCTGTCCCAATCACGATCACATTCACGATCACGTTCACAGTCACGATCATAATCCCAATCCCTGTTGCGCTCACGTTCTCGGTAATAGTCACGGTCTCGATGACGATCACGGTCATGGTCATGACCTATGTCAATGTCACGGTCACGCTCCCTTCCCCTATCACGATCATGCTCTTTGTCACGGTCATGCTCACGATCACTATTATCTTGAGTCTTAGATTTCTTCTGTCGAATTTCAGTAGATTCCTTATCGACCCTCGAATGCTTATCAGTAGACCTACTATTGGTATGATCTCTTGCAAGCCGCTCATCTCTCAGTTTGTCATCTTGGTACCTTTCTTCCCTGTCAATGTCTTCCTGATACTTATCTCTATATTTTTCATCCTTGCCCTTGTCATCCTTTGGTCTCCCATCATTCCTCAAAGACAATTGCCGATCATGGAGGTCTCCATTATCTTCCAGATGCTTATACCCATCTCCAGGACCATCCTTCTTCTTCCGGGCTCGCCTCTCAAGCTGGCTTTCTGACTCAGGACTTTGCAACTGATCCTGTAAACCCAACTCTGCAACAGGAAATAGATAAATGATTTAAGAATATATATAAAGAGTGTTTCTATTTCCAAAGGAACTAGTTAAACAACATAAAACTAACTTAACAAAAATACAATAAACATTCAAAGAAACTATCAATCTGCCAACAAAAACATTAAAGAAAAGGCAAAAGGGGATAACAAGGGAAAAAGAAATAAAAGCAACATATGAGAACAATATAAATGAAAATAAGTTTCAAAAAACTTAGCTGCAATGAAATTAGTAGTAATTGTGTTTTTAATTAAAATACAAAGCCAAAATCTTGCATTTCTTAAAATCAATCTTTATAACCTCCAACTTAATCCCAAAAGAAGCATTTATTGATGATCAGGATCCTATAATTCTAATTATACTTGAGTTCTAGCATTGTCAGTTCAATATTTACAAAAATAAGCTACACTTGTTACAAGGACATGAATTTGACAAACATGAAATAAATGCAGAGCTATTGTAATAGGAAAATAACATCCGACATAAACATAAAGGTATTTTCTAATATCAATTCAATGACCGGAGGAAAAAGATATATATCAAGTGATCTGTAAAAGTCAAGCAAGTCAAGTTCAAAATATTATAAAGCCTGTTCTTTAACCGAATCTAATTAGCTTCTCTTTGATCCATAAGTAGCTAAGCAGTGAAAATTTGCTCAAAGCATTCCAGGACATTTGTTCTGCTAGATAAAAATTATGCAATACAAACTTACAAAATAGATATTGGGCAATAAAATATGTAATACAAATGAGTAAAAATTATTTATGGTTCATTTCAAGAACCAACAACATTTAATTGCATTTTAAATGCAAAACACAGAAGTTACTTTCTTCAAAAAGTTATTAGATCAATCAAAAAAGATAAATAAACTACTAACCATATGCAAATATAAATTTAAACATTCTAACTTAATAATTTCAGAATACATTCAACCTATGCAAAGACTAAAATGTCTTTCAGTAACTTTTACAAATGCACGTACAAAAGCACATGAAAAACGTGCAATGAGATGCATAATCACGCACGATCTTACTGCACACACAAAGCACCAGCACACATTACATAATTTACACTTTCTTAAAACAATGAAACCATAATAAACAGGGAATAGTAAATGACGAATAAAAGTAGGCTAGAGTTCAGTTAAGAAGGGAAACAATCAAGAGGATCAGTTGTGCTAAAAATTAAACCAAAATAGTCAGAACTACATCACAATTTCAATTTTATGAGACTTAAACTACCAATAAAATTAGTTCTTTTATGTCAAATGTGTTTAAGCAAGAATTTAAAGCATGGACTTCATGATCCAGGAAACTACAAACATGCATAGTAGGAACTGATGGACCTAAAAGTAACAAATTTTCAAAAACGTACTAAACACTAACATCGGTTACTACCAGTCAACCAATTACAGAAAAGCAAGATAACAAACGAATCACAAAAGAGAAGGAGCACACAAAATTAGCCAATTACTAACTAACAAGTCAATAAGTTACCTTACCAGATTTCACAGCCGCTTGTTTGGCAGCAGGATGTTCTTCACCATCAACAAATCTCTCAACTTTTCCCTCTTTACTCTTCCTATCCCTCTCCCTCTCCCTTTCCCTCTCCCTCTCCTCCCTTCGACTAGATTCTCTATTCTTGCCCTCACTCTTACTCTTCCTCAAATCATCTCCTTCCAGCTCTTCCCGCCTCTTACTCTTTGATTCGCTAGACACCTTTGACTTCTTTTCTCCTCTACCATCATCCTCACCACCATTCCACCTGTCACTCACTCCATCATCAACCCTCTCTTTTCGCCGCTTTGACGAACTGTACTCCTCCAAATACTCCCCATTTCCTGGACCAAGTAGGTCCTTACTAGCATCTCTGGAATCAAGCTTCCGCTTCTCAACAGATCCCGACTCCTTGTACACTTTACCGCTACTCTCCTCTTTGGGCTTCCTCTCTTTCTCTTTCATACTTGAATCTTTCTCCGAATCCGAATAATCCCTAGCATCCTTCGAACCATGCTTGCTGGATTTGTGCCTGGAACCTTTCGGCATCACCGGAGCAAACTAAAACAACTCAAAAACCCTAACCGAAAAAAAAAAATTCCAATAAAACACCAAAACCCTATTCCGAAATCAGCCTACAAAATCGCAAAACCTTAATCTCCAATCCTCGAATAAAACCGCGCGCCAAATCGAAGTCCGAAACCCTAAGTTCCACCCCCGGGCAACTGATTAACAGCAAAGATGATGCAAAAACCCTAATTTCCAATCCCTAAGAGTAAAAATCAAAGATAAGAACGAAGGTTAAGTTTCTCTTCCCACGAAGTTCAGGAAACCCCAACTGGAAAGGAATAGCAAGCGGTGGCCGGAGAAGGAGAGATCGGAGGAGAGAAGACAGACGGTGGCGCTGCTGCGATTCGAGATCGAA